ATCTGTCGTGTAAAAAAGTAGATGGACGTGCGAAGAAGACGACGACGACGACGACGACGACGACGGAACTGAAATAAAATCATCTCGCTCGCCATTTCAATACGCCCTGATCTCGTACACTAATCGTATTGAACTTGGTGGCAATCGCTTCAGAACCTTCAATTCTTATAGTGAATGTATCAATAACTTTTCCTCATATATAGCGGTTCATAAGATATTTCGTTCCGAACACAGGTATAAGGAGTTGACTCGAGTAAAGAGTTTCGGCACGCTGCGCCGTGTACAGCCGGTTGCCTGTACTTGGCGCGAGACTCGACCGAGTCTCTTGATGGTTTATGGAGATTTTTGTCATAGACGGCGCGCAGGGAAAGGAGTATAGTGCGAATGGAGAAGGGGACTGTGGCTTGAGAATACGGAAATTCCTGGCCTAGAGCTCTATTAGCCAGAAAGCAAAGGAAATGCAAGATCACCTGGTTCAAAGCGAGCGACGTCGTGAGACGGATTGAAAATTGGGCGCCCGAGAACATGATCTAGAGTAAATCGGTCCGCTAGGCAATTCAGTTCTTGGGGAAAATTGACCTGGTGTGGACCAAATCGGGCTGCAAAGCAAATACGTGGTTTGGTCATGAAGACTGATTGGCGTTCAATTTTATTCAAGTTGCCTGACTGAGCTGTTGGTCCAAAAATTTGCAACTGACCGACTGCTTGAAGATTGTACACTCTTCGATTCAAAAGTAGACCGTCCCGATGTGATCCTAGGCGCAATTATATTGAATTACTGAAGGACCATAGGCCATACGTAGGCAGAGTGACTACGCAAGATAGTGAAGTAGTGAAGGAGGAACCGACACATTCAACCACATGTATCATGAATCAATAATGACAAGAAAAACTCTGCAATGGCTGATGAGAGTGTAAATGGGGATGCTGGATCAAGATGGTATGAACATCATGATTGTGAATACTCTCAACTCTGCAAACGTAATCGTGAATCGCAGAATCTTCCTGAAAATCCTCGTCATGGGCATGGTGGAGCCTCATCTTCGCACAAGGTTAAATTTTCCTCGCCTGCGTTGAGACTTACGTCTATCGATCCGACTGATCCTTAAGATGGAAATGAATACTGGAGCACCGAAGCAGGTAGCAGCGGCTAAAGCTCGCAGGAAATGCAATTTTTGCCTATGATTTTAGGGTTAGAAGATACGAGTGTTCTGTGGTATCTGTCAACGAGCCGTGTGTAACGAGCGGCGAACGACCTCAAGTGCAAATTTAAAAATTTTAATTTTATTTTCAAAAATAAAATATGTAATTTTTGTTTTTACATAAAAACAATTAATATTCACTGTAAAAAAAATTGTTTACTATATTTTCCTTTACTTTTTCAATCTTTGTACATTGTCAACATTTACATGTTTGAATAATTAGACTTTTTTACAAGGACGCAATACTGGACATTTTTCTGATAGTTCAATGTGTCCTTGAAATCCCGATGGAAATTGAAAAATCCCGTTAATTAAGGAAGAAAATAGCCAGCTTTGATTTTAAAAAGTTGTTCAAACCATTTTTCCACTAAAATTTCAATTTCTTAAAATTAAATTAATTCTTTTCCTTATCAAACATTGTAAGAGATTCATTTATATTTTAACCCTATTATTTTTCTTATAAATTTATTGCGTTAAAATGCAGTAGAAGAATAAATGTAAATTCTACATGTATGAATGCATGGGAATGCGACATTCGGAGTTCGTAATTCTGTACATCGTATTTTCTATATTTGACTTTTCTCATTCTAATATTCAATTACAGTTACATTATTAATACTTTTATGTTGAATTGGACAGCTCCAGCTTTCTTCCTTGGAAGACTACGTTTCCCAGGTAGTTGAGCACGATCTGTGTGTTTTATTATTCCATGAGTAACCCCGCTAGTTTCAGTGCCCAAACGGTCACGTAATTAGTCTGGAACTTATAGATTTACAAATGTTGAGGAGTTCTTTCGGAAATGCTCCGTAACTTATCGGGCCCCAGAAACATAACCCAAATTTGTCTATTTTGTAGCAGGTCCGAAATGCCTCAAAGCCCGAACCTCTTTAAATTTGCATTGCAAAAATATTTTTAACAATTTTAAAATATGGTCGGACCAACGTTTTGCGAAGAATTCGTTCCATGTTTGTAATACATCGGTCATTTCTGGTACAAATATAAATATATATGCTCACATGTACAAGCACATACTTCTTTTTACAACGGCGAATGGATACAATCCACACCACCACATGCTTCAAGCGATCATATTTAAAAAATTGACTACTGCTCGGGTCCACAATTAAAAAGACATTTCCCATAGTGAATTAATCTTTTCAATTCACACCTTAAGATTACTACTTGCATTAAGCTGGTCCTTGATGAACTTCTTGAAGCGAAAACAGTAGCCGTACTGTTGATGAACAGCCTATATTTCGTCCCTCCACTGAGAGTTATCCCCACCAAACTTAAATCAATATGTTGCGACAGGTTCCCTAGGGCGAACTCCTCGGCACCACGACATCTCGTCTCAGTCATTTCTTTCCTTCTGTTTTCTTATCTTCCTCATTTATTTCATCTCCTAGTTTGCCTCCTTCGTTTTTTTTCCCGTTGAGTCACTGTCGTTGTGATTACCATTACTGAATCAGCTGCCAACTCTGTGAGTTATAGAGCATTCTAACCCATACTCTAAAGCTCCGATGACGTCACAGAAGAACGCACCCCATTCATGGATATCCCACGCAAAGCCAAAAGCGGCATATAAAACATTAGCGAACTTTCCTTGTATTCAAGACAAATTCGGTGCAAATGTTCAATCTTTATTAAAAAAAAAAGTATATTCTTAAAATCGGCTTTACAATAATCCAGCAGGAACTTTGTGACTTTAGGGAGTACCGTTCTTAGTTCCTGATGGAAAAAATAACGAAGGAGGGTAATCGAATTGAAAATGAAGTTATCGAAAGTCAATTTATCAAGTTACGTTTGAAAGGCTTTAGAGACAAAGGCCTGACAATGAGTCATAAAGCGTAGGTTAAATCCGCCGCTGGAAGTAGACATTACGCCCACTAACTAGCAAAAATTCGAGATAAGAATTGATTGGTGTAACGCAGAGGGCGACATAGGTCAATTATTTCCATGTATTCCATGCGTTCGCAATGATATCGAACTATTATCATATTTCACAGTTAGCCTTAATTCTCTCCTGGAATCTGACATTTACTATGCTTTGCGACTGGACTCGTGTTTTCCCAGTCCGATGGTACGTGTGCTCATCGATTTGCGGAAAAGCCAACCACGCAACATTCTCTGTCTCACCTCTGGCATATGGGCATTGACACGCATGGAATGGCACACGTACATATACAGGGTGTTCGTTATGACACGCACTGTAGTAACATCGTTGCATTTCTTGTCAAATTCTAATGAATACTTATATTTTCATTTTTTATTTCATATATCAAAATTTCGAGATAATCAAGGTTGAAGTTGCAGTAATGCGACCAATCAGAGCGCGTTTAAACGGAGCGTAGATGACGTCGCGAGTCAGGCCGCAAGACCTGCTTACACTAGGCCAATAACACTAAGAGTATCGTCGTAGTGTCCCTGTTTATCTGCATGTAATTGAGTGAGATACAATCGCTCGCTGTAACGTCAGTGAATTTCAGAAGGTACCCTTTATTCCTTATAATGTCTATTCCTTTAATGTCACAAGACAGTTGTAGCAACGTATTACGTTTTGAGTGGTCCTGAAAAGGACCGATTTTGATCTACGCATG